CCCCCCCCCCCCCCCCTCTCTCTCCCCCTCACACACACACATTCAACACTGTTGTTTCGTTTTTCATAGATTATTGATAACACACACATTCAACACTGTAGTTTCATTTTTCATAGATTACTGATAACACACACACAACAAAATCACCACCATCATCCCAGCACAATACGTTTCCGTTCTTGGCACCTTCACACCCACCAAAACTCCATTAATATCATTTACACATCCCACACGTGGATTTTATTAACGTTCGACAAAACCCATATCATAATAGCAAATTTGCACATAAATGTATAATTAGATTTCAGGGATTGAAATGGAATAGATGACATTTGATGTGCCGAGTCTACAGTTGGGGCTTGTCAGGTGGTTAGTGAGCCAGGAAGTTGGGGGTGGTTGATTTTACATGTGTGTGTGTGTGTGACAGAGACAAATAAATATTTTGGGTATTGTTCTCGAGACTTGTGCAAGACAAGAAAGAAGTGAAGTCATGAAAGAGAGATGGAAAAAGAGATACCAAGAATTTATTTTGGAATATTTTTGCTGAGTTGTCAGCTACCTTTGGATGCCCGTAAACCGTGGGTTTTCCGGTGTGTCCGTGAATAACTCAATCCCATATTCAATATGTAACTCGGTAAGGAGATGGGTTCCTCTTATGATTCATAACTTTTCCAAAAAACAATCACTTACTAAGGAAAAGCTGGCAGATAGTAATAATCAATATTTGATATAGAAAGGAATGGAACCCCCGAATGACTAGTTTTTGACATACAATGCTATTCCTCCAAAAAAAAAAAATCCACAAATCTATTTTGGTAGATACATTAAACCAATGTTACCTAAATCGTGGGTCGGTTTAGTGTGTGGTACAAAAAACGAGTAGGCAGTATATCACTTTTTCTTGGGTACATGGTAAAATGGTGTAGACTAGTTGATATGTTATTGTGGGGTTGTGATTCGTTTTAGAACTCTAGGTAAAACTATTATAAGAAATTTTATGTAAATATACATCCATACATATAAAAAAAATGTATTTTACATTTGTGATAGGTTTCCAATTATCTGAAAATATGTATACTTGTGCATCCATGCACACATAGTCAATAGATATTGATTTTATATTTGCGGTGTGAGTTCCAAAACGAATAAGTTTGGGGTCAGAAAGTTAGGTAATCTAGGTTGTGATCCTGTTAGCAAATGTTTCACCCAGATTGTGGGTCATCTGAATTGAGCAGTTTCCGGTAACTGCGCACTACACTGGTTGCTTAACCACCAAGAATTAAACAAGCATTCTAGATGAGGAACTGTCAGCTTTACATGGAGAGAAATACTTAAAGAGAGAGGATGGCTCCTCAAAAGACAAAACCAGGAAACAGAAAACTATTATGAGCACTGACCGATGGAAATTAACTGATATAAGAAATGACCTCCTAAAGTTTCTTTTCCAAACAATTCTCAGCTAGGATGCAGGCAAACATACTTCAGGAGATGAGGTTGACAGAAAATTGAAGATCATGTATTAGATCAAAGATACGCACCAAAGGGTCTTTGGTTCAATGGTACTCCTTGTCTTATAAAGGTCAAGGGTTCAAGTCCCCCTCCCCCTTCCCCTTCCCCTTCTCCTTCCCCTTCCTCTTCCTCTTCCCCATCCCCCCCCAAAAAAAAATAGATCAAAGATACGCCTCTTAAAATTGAAAAAATAAAAGCATAAATATAGACACAACTACCCCTTGGTAACAGAAAGATCCCAATTTTTTTCTTTTCTGTTCATTGATTAATAAAAAAAGCTCCCAGGTAGCTCAAGGATTTCTAGACTCCTAATGGCAGCAGAAAGTAATTCATAATAGCTTTTTTTCCCCATCAAAACATAAATTAATCCAGTTCAAAACCATAAACAAGTCTGACCTTGGGTACATGAAGCTAGTTTGGTCTCCACCTCGGATATACTCCTCAAGCATCTGCGGGTGATACTCTAAAATCTGTTTATTTCAGGTCAATTTGAAAATTAGTATAGTTAAGAATCAAAGTAAAAAGTATAGTCAGACGATAGAATTAGGATTATGTCAAGCCATACCTCCCGATATATCAACTCTCTGACATCATCTTTTGTCAATTTCCTCCTTTCGAACTCAAACTCAAGCTTTGATATGGGTTGAGTAGATGGTTCATGGTCCACATTTGATAAACCATGGAAGTAAGGATCAGTCAATGCCTGCAAACAGAGGGACAGAACATATTAGGAACATGATGATCCATTATACATCAGATCATTGTTTGCCACCATATATCCTGAAGATAATCATAGATACGGTAGTATTGGAGTTTCCAAAAACTACCTCTTCAGCAGATGGCCGATCTTTAGGATCAAATGCAAGCAGGCGCTCCAGTAGGCGAAAAGCCAAAGGATCTGCATGGGGGAATTTCTGTAAAAATGGAACTGGCTGCTTTTTACGCATGCTGCTGAGATATCTTCTAGCCTTTTCATTCCGAATCTGCCATCGTTGTTAAAGCAATAGTTATTTAAAAGGAATCAGTAATATAAACCACAGCACAACATTATAGCAGCGAGGTAAGAACATGACAATGAACCCAGGTAGCTCACTTACAATCACTAAGAACTGTTAAGTGCAACAAATATAGGAGTATATTTGTGCCAGAATGTTGTATGATGAAGTCAGTAATACAGAAACCATATGCTAGAAAATTGCAAGAAATTTTCAACGACTGGAAGATGTAGATAATGGAATTGAAGAACTTACCCTGGCAATAGATTCAGGCGAAGGAGTGCCAAGAAAATCAGTCATTATATCTAATTGGTGTACCACATTCTTCCCAGGAAATAATGGTTTTCCAGTAAGCATCTCAGCAAATATGCATCCAATACTCCAAATATCAATTGCCGGAGTATACTGCAAACAGAAGATATCTTAGAATTTTGTATATTCTTTAAAATAAAACATAATTGAAACAACATAATAATAGCTACAGCAATTCTTTTTGTTTTTTTTGGTGTGCATGCTGTTCATTGCTCAAAAGCACTCAACACAACAGCAATTGAACTCCTGCAATGTTAATTAACAAAACAAAGTGGTCTACAAAAAAGTAAGTCCATAATTTCCAAGAATCTTAATCTCACTTGAACTTGTGAGCTCAAAATAAACAAATGATTAATATATTTCTAGACCAACTAAGCAAATCTGTCTCAAGCGAACAAATTTGACCTGCAATGATCAGTCGCTAACAAGTTTCAAAAGAAAAGAGAGATGGATGGGAAAGATGAACAACATTGGAGAAGATATGTGCATAACACTATCCAAAATTTAAATTATGATAGAGCAAATCATAGCTCTAAAGATGAATTCTACACAAGGTTAGGGCNAGTTTCAAAAGAAAAGAGAGATGGATGGGAAAGATGAACAACATTGGAGAAGATATGTGCATAACACTATCCAAAATTCAAATTATGATAGAGCAAATCATAGCTCTAAAGATGAATTCTACACAAGGTTAGGGCAACAATTTCAACCATTGGTAAAAGTAAAAGGGTAAAGATATCGACTGTAAATCCATCTTACTTTCGAGAAAAAGGAGCCACAGAGTTCAGGGGCACGATACCATCGAGTTGCAACATAGTCCTTCAGCAAGTAAAATAAAGATATTCAGAAACAACTGGTTAAGAAACATATATACATGGGAGTTAAAAACGATAGTAAAAAATTTAAGAAGGTTCTGTAAAGGTCACACGTACGGTCCAGAAAATAGCTGAGGGGGCATCATTAAATGATACACGAGCAAGCCCAAAATCACAAATCTTCAACTTACAATCAGCATTAGCAAGGATATTTTTTGGCTTTAAATCTCGATGAAACACATTAGCTGTAAAGAAAATCAAAAATACATTATCCATGATCAATGAGGGCATTAACGAGCAAGAGGGAGGCCATGATATCAGAGAGGACAACCAACCTGAGTGTATATATTTTAGGCTACGAAGAAGCTGGTACAAAAAAAACTGATGATGGTCAGGTGTAAGATCATCATTTGCTTTTATTACTTGGTGAAGGTCAGACTCCATCAATTCAAAAACAACATAAATATCTTTGAATTCTCTTCGAGATGGAGGAAGCATAATATGTTTTATTTCTACAACATCAGGATGTCGGAGCAGCCGAAGGAGCTTTATTTCTCTTAAAATTCTAGTTGCATCAGAGACATGCTCAAAGACATCATTGATTTTCTTGATTGCAACCCTTTCCCCGGTGTTGGTATCAATAGCAGAACCAACAACCCCATAACTACCTTTGCCAACAACTTCTTGAATTTGGTATCTGCTTGCCTCTCCATACTCTGTGAAGAATTCTGTGTCCAAGGAGTTCTGAACAAAATAAGTCCCAATTAGAAAAGATTAAATAAAGATGTAATACAAAAACTTGGAAAAGGGAAAAATGATTGCGTAAAACAAAGGAATATAGAAACCCACCACAATTTTTCTTTGATATTTTTGTCATAAAGTAGGAAATCACAATTATGTTATCAAGGGATTCAAAGTCAATTGAATCATTGATTGCTCTGAGACATAATTGTAAAATATCCACTGCCAACGAAATCTAAGCACAGAAATGGCTCTGCAAAGGTCAAACAACCATGAAGGTGATGCTTTTTTGAACATAACTTGTAAATTTCTTAACGGACAGAAGCATTTCAACTTAAGGGAGCTCACTCTCTCAATATTAGTATACTTTTACATGTCTAATTCCTGTTTTACCATATAATTCCATGTCACAATTACAACGCTACATTTCTCACTAAATGCCCAGCAGGATAAGCCGTTGTTCCGGGAAAAAAAAGTGATTTGCCCCATTGAAATGGCATATAGCTTGACTAATATGTGCCAGTTAAAAGAAAAGTAAGCACATCAGAAACAGGGCAACAACGAAGACTTCGCTTCTTGTACAGCTACATATTCCAGGAATTTTATCAGAAAAATGTACAAATTTGAAGCTAATGGAATCAGATGAATTATAAAGTTCAATAATCATAAAAATTCAAAAAAGTAGAAGCTTCAAATATCATTCAATTGAGTTTGAATCGCAAATGATTTATCAGATAATGAATCTAAAATATTGCAGGCAGGAACTGCAAACCAAAAGCATGCAATCCACACAAATCTACCTATGCAAATGTATATTTTTTATGAGGATCAATGAACTGCAATACTTGATTGATATTTCTTATTTACAGCAGCAGAGAACAGTGAACCCAACTCTATAAGCCCAACACAATAAGCCCGGAATACACCCAGATGAATTATAATGTCTTATAATCATAAAAACTGAAAAAAGGACAAACTTTGAATACCACTCAATCGAGTCTGAATAGCAACAGAAATCTTTTATCGCATAATGAATCTAGATGATCGTGGTCATTGAACTTAACTAATCCAAATGAACTGCAGAAAAAATGAATGCAACATACAGATCTATCTATGCACATATGTATAGAGGTGTACTAAAAAGAGGTTGAGATCTTCTTGTGAGGATCATCGAACTGCAATACTGGATTGATATGTCTTATTCAGGGCAGCAAAATAAACAATGTACCCAACTTTTTAGGCAAATGTCCTGAGCAAGGGAAAGCTAGTTCTAAATAGATCAAACACCCTGAAATCCACATGTTACGGACCAAACTTGTATATCATTGAGAAAAAAGTAAGAGTGTAGGACGTTAGCGTATTCTTCATCCTACATTGTGTTAGTGACAAGTAATGCCATGCGATAATCACAATGGGTGTTTGGAAATGCCAGTGCGAAATGACATTGTCAAATGATGTCAAACTATCTGCTTCATCATCAGTTTCTTTTCAAGATGCAATTTAACTCAAATTTCTGTTCCACCAAAAACCAAGCTCTACTTGCCCCTAATCTTAAGTTGGAAACAAGGTCTAGCTCACAAACACTGAGGGTCAACGATTGATGGACCTCAACGCCATAATAGATCAACCTAACAGAGCATGTCTCCAACTTTCCGAAAAGGAAAAAATATTTTCTTTCTTTTACCATTGAATCGGTATAGAGTGGGACTCTTCAGTATGCACAGCAAACAAATGTGTGTTCATTCTAAATTCTATTGACATGTTCTGAGCTAGATGATCCACAAACCACATTAGATCATTCTAAATTCACAATCACCACCACCACCAGCCAAAAAAAAATCAAAAACCTGTGGGCCAATTAATCAGTAGAAAATTTCTATATGTACATATAGATCCATCACACCTCATTTTGGTCCATTAAAGCCAACAATTATTAAACCAAAGAATCATGGCAAATGTCAAACGACGGAATTTTTAATTTAAATACATAAAGATCTATATGTGGGGGGTGGCAGATTAGAGACACACACACTCAGAGAGAGAGACACACACACACAGACCTTTTTGTGAGGATCCATGGAGGAGTTAACTGAAAAGTGAATGCGTTTAGGGACTTTGACGATCTTCAATCCAGAAAAATCAAAGTCTTCGATAATGGTAAGCTCCTTTTTTTCTGGTTGCTGTGAAGTTGTAGCTGACGATTTAGCTTCAAAATCGGTCACACCCGCATGCTTATTTTCATTACCAACAGTATCGTCTGACCCAGAGAGACGATGAAACCACCGAAAAACCCCATCCACCAATGTACCATTCCCCATATACACACCCACCACCCACTACTATTCTTCTTCGCCTCCTAAATTTTCGATCCAACTATCAATTCACAACCACCGTATCCCAGCATTTCGCTCTCTCTCTCGCTCGCTATTTTTCCTCTGTGTTGTCCTCTCTCCCACTCTTTCGCTAGTTTTCTTGGCTCCGATGGAGTGTAACGGTCTAAGAGAGAGAAGAAGTGCCCTGCAATTGCTATTATAAAATACACTTGCTACCCAAAATTTTTTAAATGTATCAATTTATACCCAAAAAGACCAATATTCTTACATTTTACCTCAATCGAACAAATTAGTAGCAATCCGACCCAATAATAAATTACATTTCATTGCTTTTTTTAGATAAGATAGTATAATTGTAATGCCACCAGCACCATTTGCATCCCACAATGGTTTGGGACCACTAACTACATCCAAGTGGCTAGTTAGAGTATCTTCAATCCTTATCATTTTTTAAATTCAAATTTAAATTTGGATAAAAAACTCAATTTTTCAAGGGAGACTTAAATCTATACCAGTATTAGATACTTTTTTNACCCGCATGCTTATTTTCATTACCAACAGTATCGTCTGACCCAGAGAGACGATGAAACCACCGAAAAACCCCATCCACCAATGTACCATTCCCCATATACACACCCACCACCCACTACTATTCTTCTTCGCCTCCTAAATTTTCGATCCAACTATCAATTCACAACCACCGTATCCCAGCATTTCGCTCTCTCTCTCGCTCGCTATTTTTCCTCTGTGTTGTCCTCTCTCCCACTCTTTCGCTAGTTTTCTTGGCTCCGATGGAGTGTAACGGTCTAAGAGAGAGAAGAAGTGCCCTGCAATTGCTATTATAAAATACACTTGCTACCCAAAATTTTTTAAATGTATCAATTTATACCCAAAAAGACCAATATTCTTACATTTTACCTCAATCGAACAAATTAGTAGCAATCCGACCCAATAATAAATTACATTTCATTGCTTTTTTTAGATAAGATAGTAGAATTGTAATGCCACCAGCACCATTTGCATCCCACAATGGTTTGGGACCACTAACTACATCCAAGTGGCTAGTTAGAGTATCTTCAATCCTTATCATTTTTTAAATTTAAATTTAAATTTGGATAAAAAACTCAATTTTTCAAGGGAGACTTAAATCTATACCAGTATTAGATACTTTTTTTTATTAAAATTTGGGTTTATTCTTATTTAAATTTGTGTTTCTCTTTATTTAAATTTGAGTTTCTCTTTTTTAAAATTTGAGGTTATCCATTGAAAATGTCTATAACAAATCAAGTTTTTTACCATTTTTTTTACTCAAATTTAAGTAAGAATTTGAGTTTCTATTGAAAATGTTCCCTTTGTAATGAAAAAAGAAACTGAAGTTATCTAATTGCTATCGATTTGTTGAATTGAGGGTGCAGTGAGAATATTGATCTTTTGATGTGAAAATTAATAAAAACTAAATATTTGGGGGTATAAAATATCATTGTCCCTGTGAATATAAAAGTAAAAGGAGGAAAAAGGGTTTCATCTTTTATATATTTACACCTTAATTCCTTTTTGCATTTTCATTCTCCCTTTTTTTTTCATTTCTATCACTTGACACGGTAGAAAAAAAATTATTGAAAGCTATTGGGTAGTAAATGCATGTTTTAGATAAATTTAAATAAATGGTAGGTAGTTATGAAAGAAGAAAAAGATGGTTATAAATAATATTAATGCTATTGAGACATAATTGAGGGATATAATTTAGGGATATAATGAGTTGTCACCAATAAAATGATAATAATATGTATTTAATGATAGGTCTTATTATAGCATTAAATGAATTTATTATCATATCATCAATGACAAATTCATTATATCCCTAAATTATGTTCATAAATTATGTCTCAATAGCATTACTTTATAAATAATACATGCTAGAATCTAATTGAAAGAAACTAGGGAGGGAATGATTCTCAAGCCTCTTGCACTAATTCATTTACTATAATAATATACTAGATTTCGTGCCATGCACAAAATTTGTACCTTATCACATTTTTTTATTCATTTCACTCTCTTCCTTTTTGTCCTATCCCACCATTTAAGGAGTTAAAAAAATAATTATAAAAATTTGGGGGATAGAAAGTATTTTTTTTAAGAAAAATTAAATGATGAGTTATTTGTTAGTGGGAGGGTGATTATGCCACGCGGTAAAATGTAATTGAATTGAATGCATTAAAATTCTTAAATTTGAGAGAATAAAAAGGGAATACATCTTAAGATATCTTTNATATCCTAAGATATCTTTCACCTAATTTATTTGTTATATAATATAGTATAAATTATGTCGTTCTCTTGCAATACACGAGATTCACAATCATCTTTTTTTTTTCTCGTGTTTCTTCTTCCTCACCCTTCACCTCTCTCTCACCTTTTTGAATTAATGTATAAGTTTAAAAATTATGAGAAATTATAAGAGATGAAAACTAAATTTAAAAAAAAAAAATCAAACGAATGGTGATTGGTTAGTGACGGAGTGAAGAATGGTTATCGGAGTTAAGTGTTGAATCGCGATGGAAAAAACTTTAGTTTAATAATTAAAAAATATCAAAANTAAATAATACTAATGCTGTTGAGACATAATTGAGGGATATAATTTAGGGATATAATGAGTTGTCACCAATAAAATGATAGTAATATGTATTTACTGATATGTCTCATTATAGCATTAAATGAATTTATTATCATATCATCAGTGACAAATTCATTATATCCTTAAATTATGTTCATAAATTATGTCTCAATAGCATTACTTTATAAATAATACATGCTAGAATCTAATTGAAAGAAACTAGGGAGGGAATGATTCTCAAGCCTCTTGCACTAATTCATTTACTATAATAATATACTAGATTTCGTGCCATGCACAAAATTTGTACCTTATCACATTTTTTTATTCATTTCACTCTCTTCCTTTTTGTCCTATCCCACCATTTAAGGAGTTAAAAAAATAATTATAAAAATTTGGGGGATAGAAAGTATTTTTTTTAAGAAAAATTAAATGATGAGTTATTTGTTAGTGGGAGGGTGATTATGCCACGCGGTAAAATGTAATTGAATTGAATGCATTAAAATTCTTAAATTTGAGAGAATAAAAAGGGAATACATCTTAAGATATCTTTCACCTAATTTATTTGTTATATAATATAGTATAAATTATGTCGTTCTCTTGTAATACACGGAATTCACAATCATCTTTTTTTTTTTTCTCGTGTTTCTTCTTCCTCACCCTTCACCTCTCTCTCACCTTTTTGAATTAATGTATAAGTTTAAAAATTATGAGAAATTATAAGAGATGAAAACTAAATTTAAAAAAAAAAAATCAAACGAATGGTGATTGGTTAGTGACGGAGTGAAGAATGGTTATCGGAGTTAAGTGTTGAATCGCGATGGAAAAAACTTTAGTTTAATAATTAAAAAATATCAAAACTCTAATAAATTAACAATTAGGGAGGGAAGACTTAAAACCCTTGTCTTGGTAATTTGTTTATTGTATACATAGATATAGATAGGTTTATGTTATTTTTGTTTTCTTTTTTACTTGAATCATTTACAATTTCTTAATCACTCATAATTCTCTATCAATTGCACTATCTTCTATGTGCTCTCATTGTCATTTGTTTTTTCTTTACTGACCCGCTCCTTGTCTCACTTATGTATTCTCTACTATTTCATCTACGAGGACTATTCAATAAGACTATCTTAACCTCTTAAATACAAGGAGTCATCTTATTGGCTGTTATAAAGGATGTATAGCTAGAAGTCTAGCCCCTCCACTTATACTTTGAAGTTTTGGGGTTTGGTTTGACATTTTAAGCCCTAAGATAGTGACCGCTAATTGTTGACTCTTTAAATCCCAACTTTCTTTAAATTTTATACACATATTAGCGACAGCATTTGTTTAAAGATACGACGCAACATGAAGTTCAAAAAATTAATCTCACTTTATCAAATAACGAGTTTTCTTTCCTTTTTTTTTCATTAATTTTTACCTATTATTTAAAAAAATTGACAAAATTTTCTAAAAATATGGGATCTCAAAAATATATCAACATGCGTATATTATCGTATATAAACAATGTCTAGAATATACAACCAATTGGTAGCCAAGGATCTGGACCTTATTGAGGAAATGAGAGATCTTAGAGCCATCTAACTGGCCAAGTACCAAGAGGAATTATTCAGGCAACATCAAAAGACGATCATAGCCTAAGAGTTCACATATTCTTCCCCATCTAACAATAAAGCAAAACCTCACCATCACCAAATAGGTCATCAGACTCTACCAAGTCCCCAGTAACGACCTAAACCCAAAGTTCTGTAAGAGTTGCGGGTTCCCAGAACATCCTCTCGAAGCGCGGGAAAAGGGTCATCACCTTCCTCCTTGTCCCCGTCACTTATAGGGATGATAGCAGGGGGAGGGGGATATTCCCTCATGACCTCAGACTCACCCCCGACCTCATCATCCTCCTCGTTTGACAAGGGCATCAGAACAAAGGCATGTTCGAGGAAGAGCTTAGAGTGAGGAATGACTCGACAGTAGAAAGCTCGGCATCCTATACGTAATTGAAGTATTTGGCCTTGGTGCCGGCAAACACCTTCACCACATCTCTTTGGAACTTGTTATAGATGTCTTGACGAATTTGGCCCTACATACTCTCTACGTTCGTTAGGGACTCGGTCATATTTGATGGGTTAAGCTCAAATAATCCAATTTATGTATTAAAGTCCAACCCCGGTTAAGGAGCCCAACCTCATTGTGAATCCACCAGGTCCAAGACAGTCCAAGTCCGGTTAGACTTCTTGCTTAGCACGTCACCAAGAGGAGAGCACGAGAAGTTTATCTGCACCGCCAAAGGAAACAGCCCAAGGCCGGTTAGACTTCTTGCTTAGCACGTCACCAAGAGGAAAGCACGGGAAGTTTATCCGCACCACCGAAGGAAGGAAACGGTCCAATCTTTGACCACGTTTCATGAAGAGCTCCCCAACCTCTTCCTTCCGTTGAGGATAAGTCGTGATCTCCACCAAAGATAATCTCTAAGCTGCGATAAAGAAGCCTTGAGGATATGTCATGATCTCCACAAGAATGATCTCTTAGCTACTATAAAATGGCTCTAATCTGGGAGAGGAAGGACACATGCTCCATCAGAGACTTACAGAAGACGAACCGACTACCGGAGATTATTATTTTCTTTGATTCTCCATTCCCCCTCTCAAAGCTTGTATCTCCATTCTCCATACCTTTGAATCAATAAAATACCCGGCGACTGAAGCCATTGAAGAGTGGACGTAGGTCGAATTGACCGAACCACTATAAATTGTGTCTTCTTTAATTTTCTCGTTGATTTCATTGCATTTATTATCTATACTTGACAGGTGGTGTGCAAAACCATTTTTGTGCATCATCAGTTTGGCGCCGTCTGTGGGAAACGACAAAATTCTCACTCCTGAACATTACGGCCATTAACTAATGGCGATCACTACTCGATCCATGAACCAACACGAAGACAATCCTCCACGAGAGGAAGAGGTTGCTCCCCCGCCTATCAACCCTGTTCCGGATACTTTGGCCCCGAATCCCCATCAAATATTGGAGACCATGCAGCAACTGGTTGCTCAAAACCAACAGTTACTGCAACTCATACTTGCTGGCCAAGGAGGAGCACCACACGGAGGTGTACAACATGGAGGACCCCAAGGAGGAGCACCACATGGAGGTGCACAACATGGAGGACCCCAACGTGGAGCACCACATGGAGGTGCACAACATGGAGGGCCCCACAGAGGTGCACAACATAGAGCACCACAAGGAGCTCCACATCCTGGGCATCAAGGAGCACCACGCCCTGTTGCTCCACGCCCAGGTGCCCCATTGGGCACCCCACTTCAGGAAGCCCAACATGAGGGAGCTGCACCTCCCCCTCCCGTTGCTTTCCAGGGAGATGACCCTTTTCTCCAGGAGGATGAGGGTGAAAACCAAAGCATGGGGCATGGAAGCCACTTCCATGATCATTCCAGAGGAGCCCCCAATCATTGGGACGAGAAGATAAAGGAGGTACAAAATCAACTCGGTGATGTCTTCAACGCCATGAAGGCCCAGGGACCCGAGACTGTTGACCACCTGGTAAGGCGTACTGATACCCCTTTCAAATCTGATGTAGCGAA